TGTCCTCTCCTGTGGTAAAGACTCATTTTGCCTGTGTACATTAGGGGCACCCCATGAATTTGAAGGGTAGAGAGTTCAGGACAGGAAAATAATTAAATACTACTTCACATAACACACAGCACTCAGTGTCCACTATGAAATTAAAAGATGCCTGCTCCTTGGGAGGAAAGTGATGGCAAACCTAGACAGCATAATAAAAAGTAGAGACATCACCCTGCCAACAAAAGCCCGTATGGTCAAAGCAATGGTATTCCCATGGCTGCAAGAGTTGGACTATAAGGAAGGCCGAGTGCCGAAGAATAGATTCTTTTGAACTATGGTGCTGGAGAAGACTCTTGAGAGTCCCCTGGACTGCAAGGAAATCAAATCAGTCGATCCTAAAAGAAATCAACCCTGACTATTCCCTGGAAGGCCAAATACTGAAGCCGAAATACTTTGGCCACCCAATGAGAAGGGAGAAGACCCTGATGCTGGGTAAGATTGAAGGTCAAAGAAGAAGGAGACGGCAAAGGCTGAGATGGTTAAAATGTTATCGAGGCAATGAACATGAAATTAAGCAAACTCTGGAGCATGACGGAAGAGGGCCTGGCGTGATGTGGTCCATGGGGTCGCGAAGAGTCGGACTCGACTGTGCAACTGAACAACAACAAACTGTGATTCCTCATGAAAGAGATTAGACAAATTCCTCCCATGAATTAAAATTTTCATATCTCACCTTCCTTCCATAAGAAAAGGCAGACAAACCTGGGCAGAGCGATTCATCCTGTTGAATAAAGGGAGCCTCCACCTTCTGGAGCAGCAGAGCTCTGAATACTACTTTCTACTGCCCAATAATAATGGAAAAATTTGGCTTCTGTGGCTGTGCTTATAGGGGAATCTGGCAGGCCTCTGTGGAAAACAGGGTGCTAAAGTAGGGATGGCAAGCTATGGCCCAGCACCACCACCCCCGCGGATCTTTGGGGAGATCCTTGGTATGAAGCTCGGCACTGATATTACCCTAGAGTCTCCAAGAAGTACTGAAGTGGTGTCTGGGTTTAGGGCCAAATGTGTTGGTGACTTATCATGTGAGGTCATTTCCACCACCACCCTCTTTCCCCCCCTCCAGGCCAGACTCAATGGCCCAAGCTGGCAGAAGAACGCCTTTCGGTCTGTCTAGCAGGGATGTTGTAACCTTTGGAGCTCCAGTGTTCTCAGGGCACATTTCAAGTCTCACAGAAGCCTGAAATACGTTGGCAGCATTTATAACCCCTGAGGCTCATGAGTGCTTCTCTTCTGCCTCTCCTAGAATTTAGTAAAAAGTGTGAAAGAATGTGTCGAGTGTACACAGGGCAAATTTTCAGACTCTTGGGAAAGGGGCCATGAAGCAGGGAACAAGCAAACAAATGGAATAGGAAGTAAAAAGAAACACCCTCCTTTCTCTTACCAAAAGGCAGTAGAAAGATGCTGTTGAGTCCTTGTCCTTTTGGAGGTGTGAAAATGGCTGCTTTGCCTCCAGTCCAGGTAGGGGAGATGAGCAGGGGACAGCCTGGGTCCCCCTCCCTTTCTCAAGGGGGCATTTGTTCCTGCCATTTCTACAAGGCAGGAGAGACTCTGAAACCCTTTATGCCATCCTATGCATAGGATGTATGCCAAGCCATACATCCTATATCATCCCAGGCTTAGAATCATAGAATGTTAGAGTTGGAGGGGACCTTGCAGTTCATCTAGTCCAACCCCCTGCACTCTGCAGGAGCATAGCTGAAAGATAGCCCTACAACATACCCAAAAGATGGTCATCCAGCCTCTGCTTGAAAATGTCCAGCGAAGGAGCATCCACCACCTCCCGAGGCAGTCTGTTCCACTGCTCAACCACTCTTACATTTAGGAAGTTGTTAGTGGTTTCTCCTGATATTAAGCTGGTAATGACTCCCTTGTAATTTCCACCCATTAGATCTAGTCTTGCCAAAATAATAACTATGCTTAAAAAAGAAAATCTTCCAGACTGGATAAACATACTATCTGTTAAGGCAGAACCACATATGCTAAGAGATATAGTGTGACAACAGTCTGACTTTAGACCCAAAGAAATGAAACAAAACAAATTTCAAAATCCAACACTATCAATCTGGGACAAATTTAGGGAAAAAACTCACACCAGTTATCTCAAGGTTTTCCTCTTTTTATGGTCAAGCCTGGTACCTGCCAGGCCAATGCAACCAAGAGTATAAAAAATGGAAAGAAGCAGGTCTAACAACACTAGAAGACCTGACATTAAACAGGGAAATAATGAATAAAATTACAATGGAACAAAAAAATGAATTAAACATACCATGGTACCAATATCTCCAAATATCTAGTCTTGCAATCTGGAGCTCCATCTTCTACATGACAGCCCTTCAAATACTTGAAGACTGCAATCATGTCCCCTCTAAGTCTTCTCTTTCCCAGGCTAAACATACCCAACTCTTTCAGCCTTTCCTCATAAGACCTGGATTCCAACCCTCTCACCATCCTAGTTGCCCTCTTCTGGACACAGAACTGGACTTCCTTCCAGTGTGCAATCTCTGCCTGGCATGATCTCTGATGAGGGAATCTGCTTTTTCTTTCAGTGTCCCTTTCCTTTGAGGAGGTGTCAGTTTCTTTCACCATGGAAGAATGGGCCCTGCTGGATCCAGGCCAGAGAACTCTCTACAGGGAAGTCATGCTAGGTAAGGATCCTTATCAAGTGCTAAAGGTGTGAATTTCTACCCATGGGATGATGCATGAACCAAACTATTGAACAGGAACACATCATTTTGAGGCTTTTCTGGCTACTTGCCCGGAGGCAACTGAGGCCAGTGTTGTGGCCATCACGCAAGCCAGAGACAGTGTAATGGCCTGAGGCAAAGGTGGGGATGAGAGAAGAGAAGAAGAGATTGGATTTATACCCCGCCCTTCACTACCCAAAGGTGTCTCAGAGCGGCTTACAAACTCCTTTCCCTTCCCCTCCCCACAACAGACACCCTGTGAGGTAGGTGGGGCTGAGAGAACTCTTGACAGAAACTGCTCTTTTTCAAGAACAGCTGTGCCAGAGTTATGGCTTGCCCAAGGTCATCCAGCCAGGTGCAAGTGGAGGAGTGGGGAATCAAACCCGGTTCTCCCAGATTAGAGTCCGCGCACTTAACCACTACACCAAACTGGTGGAGAGACCCTCAGAAAGACTCTGGAAGGGGCCAGATCCTCATTTCTCTGTTGCTAACATTTACAACACACCCTTCCCCCTGGATGGGATTACAAACATCTACTCTGTCTGTGATCTGGAAATGATTGTGTCAAGAACCCAAGCCTGGGTCCCCCTGGGTCACTAGTCCTTGTATCTGAGCAGCAACCAGGTCATTGGGATCACGAGGAAAGTAAAGCAGAAAGACCCTTTTAAAATATAGAGGCCCCGGTCACACAAAAGGTTTTGGGCCGGGAGAGAGACGGATCGGGGCGCAGCAAATGGGCGCGATCCCACCGCAACATCTGGGAAACATTGCGCACCTGTCCCCGATCCGGACCTTCAGGCCGAAAAACCACATCTAAAATAAACCACCTACAGAGGTGGACTTACCAGCACGGCCGCATCAAGTGCGGCCGTGGGATCGCCGGCGCATCCTTCTGCCGGCGCATCCAAGACCCCTGGCTGAACTGCGCATGCTCACACATGCGCAGTTTGGCAGCCTCCGTCTCTGTCTCGTCACTTTCTCCCCGGTCTGCGTGGTGGCTCATGGGATCTGTATGATCCCGCCGCCGCGTGTCTATTTTGGTGCGGCTTTCAAAAGCCGCACTTTGCCCGCTCTTTTCCCCCTCCGTGTGGCAGGGACCAGAGAGATGTATAGACAATGTAAAAACAAGACATCGCTACTGTTGTGTTCCAACGGAGACCATGCACGTGGTCGAACAGAGCACGCGGTCTCCCGAACAACCAGAGCTTAGCTCCCAGAAACAATAGGCACAGAGGATCCTAGGAGCAGCCTATTGGCTACTCCGGATCCTCAGGGAAACCTATCTAATGGAGGTTAATGTAAATAAGCCAATCACGGGTGTATGGGTGTGTGTAGTTGTGGTTGTGTGTGTGCCTTTAAGCAGCCTTCAGGCTTGCCCTTGTAACCCAAGTTCTTGGAATCACGAAGTAAAGTATGAGCTGAAATCACTCAACGATGCGTCAGTCTCAGTACTTTATAGCTACACAGCACAGTTTCTACAGCTCAGCCACAGAACAACAAGAAAAGCTAACTGTTCTGTCTAATACATGAAATACCTGGTGTTAGATGGTACCTCTCGTTGCAGCATAAATATACCAGCAGTAGCCTCAGTAGCCTGAGTTACTCTACATAAAACTTCATCATGATGAAGCAAGAAACACCAAACCACACTAGCATGGCATAAGCATAAAGTTCCCATGGCTTCCCTCTGGTCTAGACAAGATTGACATTATATTCTCTCCCTCTTCTAGGGTCAGGTGGTCCGAATGACCCAATCAAGGGTCCTCCCTGATGGAATTTTCCAGAAGCTCTCAGCGCCCTCCCAATCCCCCCCCCCACCTCCTGGTTACAGAACTGGTTACAGGTTCTCATGATTAACCATTTACCACATTCTTGAGTCTAGCCTTGAAAAATATAAGAAAATATGAACATAAGAGAAGCCAATGTTGTATCAGGCCAATGGCCCATCTAGTCCAACACTCTGTCACACAGTGGCCAAAAATACCAGGTGCCATCAGGAGGTCCAGCAGTGGGGCCAAGACACTAGAAGCCCTCCCACTGTTGCCTCCCCAAGCACCAAGAATACAGTGCATCACTTGCTCCAGCCTGAGAGTTCCTATCTATACCTTGTGGCTAATAGCCACTGATGGACTTCAGCTCCATATGCTTATCTAATTTCCTCTTGAAGCTGTCCATGCTTGTAGACACCACCACCTCCTGTGGCAGTGAATTCCATGTGTTAATCACTCTTTGGGTGAAGAAGTACTTCCTTTTATCTGTTCTAACTCGACTCACAAAGGGGAGAAACCTTTTGAATGTTCTGAGTGTGGAAAGAGATTTATTCAGAGTGGTGATCTTAAAAATCATCAGAGAACCCACACAGAGGAGAAACCTTTTGAATGTTCAGAGTGTGGAAAGGGATTCATTCAGAGTGGCAGTCTTCAACTGCACCAAAGAACTCAAATAGTGGAGAAACCTTTTGAATGTTCAGAGTGTGGAAAGGGATTCATTCAGAGTGGCAGTCTTCAACTGCACCAAAGAACTCAAATAGTGGAGAAACCTTTTGAATGTTCAGAGTGTGGAAAGGGATTCATTCAGAGTGGCAGTCTTCAACTGCACCAAAGAACTCAAATAGTGGAGAAACCTTTTGAATGTTCAGAGTGTGGAAAGAGATTCAGGTTGAGTGGCCGTCTTCAACAACATCAAAGAACTCACACAGGGGAGAAACCTTTTGAATGTTCAGAGTGTGGAAAGAGATTCAGGTTGAGTGGCCATCTTCAACAACATCAAAGAACTCACACAGGGGAGAAACCTTTTGAATGTTTAGAATGTCGAAAGAGATTCAGTTGGAGTGACAAGCTTCAACTACACCAAAGAACCCACACAGGGGAGAAACCTTCTGATTGTTCAGAGTGTGGAAAGAGCTTCAGTCAGCATCGCCATCTTTGACAGCATCTAAGAACACACACAGGGGAGAAACCTTTTGAATGCTCAGAGTGTGAAGAGATTCAGTCAGCATCTCTGTCTTCAATAGCATCTAAGAACCCACAGAAGGAGAAAGCATGTAACTGCTTAGCCCGTTAAGACAACTTTTATCTTATTTCATATCTAAAAGACAACCACAGACCATATAAAACACTGAATCTATATAAACTCTTGAGAAAAGCTTGAATCTAGACAGAAATCTTAACCTAACCAGGAAAAAAAATGTTACAAATGCTCAGACTGTGGAAGGAGCTTTCGGCATGTTTGAAGCCCTCAAGAACATCCCACCTTCCCACATGGTATTAAGAGGATACTATACTTTTTTTCTCCAGGCAGTTGGCAACCTTAGATTTAGAGTTTTTTATGAATCAGAAAACAACTCAGCTAAGGAAGGATCATTGCTCATTAAAAAGAATATTATTTGTATCAGGTAAATCAGACTTCGAGTTTTCAGTACTTTGTAGAAGATTTTGTGAGTCAGACTTCATTAAATGTGTCAAAGATTAGTGTGGCGTGTCTTTTTAAATTGTGTTTAAAGTTCTCAAAAATTTCTCTTCCAAACACTTGCGACTCACATCTTGGCCCATGACTGACCTTCATGAATGCACCCAACCCAGTTTGCCCCCATTCATGATGTGGGCCTGTTACGTTCAAGAGCCAGAGTGTTGGGTTATGAATTGGTGGATCTGGGTTCAAATCCACACAGTAGGCCTGGGAGCTCTTTGGATGCCCTTTAGGCCATCACATTTTCAGGCTAACAGATCTTACTTACTTTCTTTCCTTTTCAGAGCTCCTATGTTCAGGTGATCTTGAGCAATGACTAAAAGAATAATATGTTATTTACTAAAGGAAAATATATTAGACAGAAATTTGGCGACCAAATAGGTTGTGTTCTGGTTTCTGGGGTGAGATAGCAGACGCTGAAGGCTGTGCTCATCTTTCAGAGCTTCTGTTTTATTTTATTTTTATCCTATTCCCCTTTGAGCTCCTGTTGGGGGCGTAACATTTTTTTCTTTGCTTCCTTTCTCTGCTGTTCTGTTTTATCTTTACATTTACTGAGGCGTTGAAGATTTTTATCTTATGTGCATTTTTTAAAGCCTTGGCTGCCTTTCCTAGCCTGCTGGGGGCAACAGCTCCCTTTTCCTGTTTCCCTCCCTTGCTGGTTTACCTCTTTTAATCCCTATTCATATTTCTATTTTCCCAGGTTTTTTTCATTTTTATTGCGTTTCTGTTCTATTCCATTCAGTTAACTGATTATAGTGAATCTTAAAGGATTTTAGCTTCCATTCCAATAATGGGGAGAGTTCCGGTTTGTGGCACGTGACAGCAAACTCAAAGTGGTGCCCTGCTTTTGGGGCTTCTGTTTTCCTTTATTTCTTTCCTTCCTCTCTTAAGCCCCTGGGGGGGTTATATTTTCTTTGTTTTGCTTCTCTGCTATTCTCTGTTTGAAGTTTTTGTCTTGTTTTTGTCTTTTTAGCCTTGGCTAGCCATGAGGACTTGTGGGATGCATCTCTTTCCTCCTCCCCCACGACTTCATTTTTCTCTTTATTTATTTTATTATTTATTATTTGGACTTGTATCCTGCCCTCCCCGAAGGCTCAGGGCGGCTAACAGAGGCTAACTGAAAGACCTCATAGCACCTCCTCTTTTCATGCTTCCTTCTCTCCTTTCCATGCTGACAAAGTTAGAGTCCAGTGGCACCTTTAAGACCAAGAGAATTTTATTCTAGGTAATAAGCTTTTGTGTGCATGCTCACTTCTGAAGTGTGTGTGAACACTTAAGCTTATGGCAGAATAAAACTTTGTCGGTCCTCAAGGTGCCACTGGATTCAAACTTGTTGCACTGTACATTGGTCTTCCCACAAAATGAATTCAGAAACTCTCGTTGGGACAGAATGCTGCGGCTCAGCTATTCCCATGAGCTAGACCAGGGGTGGCCAAACTTGCTCAACATAAGAGCCGCATTGAATAAACGTCAGATGTTTGAGAGCCGCAAGGCATGAACAGATATTACAAACATGTTTTTATTTTAAAAATATGCAGATTTGCTTTTTATTAACATTAAATGAGACTGCAAAAAATAAAAGCAAAAGGGGTAAAAACAGATATTGATGGTGATATTTATTTGTCCAATGATATTCATTTGTTTGCTAATGATCGCCCCGGTCACACGAGAGGTTTTGGGCCAGGAGAGGGCCGGATCGGGGCCGCAGCAAACGGGCGCGATCCCACCGCAACATCTGGGAAGCGTTGCGCACCCGTTCCCAATCCGGCCCTTCCGCCGAAAACCCCGCAGCAAAAATGAACCACCTACTGAGGTGGTTCATCCGGGAAGTCCGCATCAAGGCCGGCCGTGGGATCGCCAGCGTATCCGTCCACTGGCGCATCCCCGGCTCCTGGCCGAACTGTGCATGCTCACACATGCACAGTTCGGCAGCCTCCCCCTCCCGACCGTGTCTTCCTCCCCGGCATCTGATCGTGCCGGGGAGCAACGGCACCGCAGCTCAGGGGATACATGGGATCCCGCCGCGGCATCTCTATTTTGGTGCGGCTCTAATTAGCCACACTTTGGCCGGTGTTTTTCCTGCCGTGTGGCAGTGAGGGTGGAAAGAAAGAAGGAAAGAGGTGGAGAGAAAGAGAGAGAGAAACAAAGAAAGCAAATGGAAGGAAGGCAGGAAGGAAAAGCATGGCTCCCTTTCGTTTCTCCAGCCGCCCTGCCAGGAGCTGCACAATATGTGTGAAAGAGCCACAGTTTGGCCACCCCTGAGCTTGATGGAGCATGCATATGATTGCCATTCTACAGTCACTCCACTGGCTGCCCATCAGTTACTGGGCTCGATTGAAGATATTGGTTATTACATAGAATGCCCTTCATGGCGTTTGACCCCCCTATGCACCGCCAGAACAGCTTTGCTTATCTGAACAAGGTCTTCTGCAGGTTCTCATGGTTTCCGCTCCTGAGACCTGCATTTGCCCTGCAAGTGGGCAAAATCAGCAACCACCCAAACACTTGTTGTCTCTGTTGTGCCCCCCTACCTTCTGGAGTGGCTTGCCTGAGAAGGACAGGAAACTGTAAAACTGACTAATTCAAGTGAGCTTTTATACCCAGGCAAGAGAATTGCACTGTACGAAATGACTCACAAAGTTACTTGGGAGAAATTATTGGGGACTGTTGTCTATGCTACTGTGTTTAGGTTAGTGAAACTAGGATCCTATGATGTAACTTTTGTTTAACGTGTCATGTTAAGGCTTATGCTTTGCTTCAGCTCCGTTTTTAGATTTCTGATTGGTTCTGCAACCTTAATCCTATTGTGTTGTTTATTGAGTGCCCGATCTTGGTTGTATTGACTCACTCGGTGTAATCTGCTTTGAGTCCAAGTGAGAATGAGGGACTATAAATGACATAAATAAATGACATCTGGCTGAGGCTCCTCACCTCGCCAAACCCCACCCTTCCCAATGCTCAACACCCAAATCTCCAGGAATTTCCGAACCTGGAACTGGTAAATCTGGCAAGGCCTGGCTCCCATGAGTCCTCCCTCAAAGGGCACAAAACATCCCTGGAAAGGACTCTGCCCCCTCCCTGTGCGTTTTACTGACAGAAACCAAGCATGGAATGCTGTGCTTGCCTAGCAACAGCCACTCTGGGAATCTGTTTCTTAAAGTTACAGGTGGTCCTTTTATTATTTTGTTTAAAAACACCCAAAAACCATTGTTTCTTTCTTAACGAATTTCACATTTTAGAAGAAGAAGGGATTGGATTTATACCTCACCCTTCACTTGGAGTCTCAGAGAGGCTTGCAAACTCCTTTCCATTCCCCTCCCTGCAACAGACACCCTGTGAGGTAGCTGGGGCTGAGAGAGCTCTGACAGAAACTGCTCTTTCAAGGACAGCTCTGACAGAACTACGGCTGGCCCAAGGTCATCCAGCAGCTGCAAATGGAGGAGTGGGGAATCAAACTCATTTATCCCAGATTAGAGTCCGCACACTTAACCACTACACCAAACTGGCTCTCACTGGCAAACTGGCAATCCTGGGGCATTTCTCACGTTTGTGGAAAGATTTGTTTTGCCCACTCACAGGAGAGTGGGAGCCTTCCTGACCTCTTCAGGCAGGCCATTCCGTGAGGTGGAGTTTGCAACAGAGAATGCATGTGTATGGTCAGCGGTTGATTCTGCCCATCTGCAGGGTGGTGGCCCCTAGAGGAGGCTCTTGCTCAGATGAACGAAGTTGTCGTGGGGTGTGTTGCCAAAGAGGCAAACAGTTCTTTCACCCCTAGGGATTTCAGAAGCAATCAGCATGCCAGGGGTGGAAGGAAAACAGTTCTATTCTTCATAAATGACCAGCATAAACGGAGAATAATAAAGAGTTATACCCACGACTCTTTCCGCTGCAGGAGCCCCGATAATATCAGCGAGAAGACTCCTGGGTGTCAGCCAAAGTGCTCAGTGCCATTCTGTGGTCTAGCCTTCAGCTGCTGGAGTCTACTCCAAGGTTGAGAGAATAAGGCATCCCCCCACATTCTAGCACCAGGTTTGTATTTCCCTCTCCCCAAAGAATATCTCTTCAGATAAAATCATGGCGCCGTTAACCCCTTCCAGCCTGGCGCTGTCACGGAGTGCTCTAGGCACAGAGGGAGAAGCTTGTGGTTCACCACTCTCTCCTCAGATTACAATTGCCTTCTGTGATGTGTCACTACGTGGGGGAGCATAGGGGGAGAGGCAGCCCCACAGACAGTACCTTGCGGTGTCAACACAGCCTCCACCTTGGGCAAGAATTGGTTGTCTCCATACCACTCAGTCTTCCCAGCGCACCAGGCAGAGCAGATTCCGGTCATCCACACGTATGAAGTGCTGGCAACCGGTGTTCCCTCTAAGCTGAGTTAGTGTGAGCTAGCTCACAGTTTTTTTAGCCTCCAGCTCGCACATGTTTGTCTTGGCTCAGGAAGGGATGGCTCCAGAGCAAACTAATTTATGCAGCAGCCAAATCACTCACCACTTTAATGCCCACAAAGTAGAATTTTTGCTCACGAGACTCCACGGCTGGCAACACTCGTCCTCCCTGGCCTGGACCCTGGAGGCTTGCCTCCCATGACTAAATAATTCCCACCATGTTGGCCAACTGGAAGACTGGCCAGATGCCATCAGGTTGGCATCTGGCTTTGCGTTCAGGTCACCTGAGGTCATCATCCTGCTCCATCTCCCACCCTTGACAAAGTCTGCCAACCAGGCCTGGCCGGCAGTGTGTGTCCTTTTGATGCTGGCAGGTTTTGAGAAGCCATGACTGATGGAGCATGTCAGCTCACTCTGCTATTGCTTCAAAGGGTTTGCATTGGCATTGATGACTCAGGAGGACCCCCTACGAAGAACAAAAGCAGAAGAGGAGATTGGATTTATACCCTGCCCTTCACTACCCAAAGGAGTCTCAGAGTGGTTTATAAACTCCTTTCCCTTCCCCTCCCCACAGCAGACACCCTGTGAGGTAGGTGGGGCTGAGAGAGCTCTTTTGAGAACTGCTCTGAGAGAAATGTGACTGACCCAAGGTCACACCAGCAGCTGCACGTGGAGGACTGGGGAATCAAACCTGGTTCTCCCAGATTAGAGTCCGTGCTCCTAACCACAACACCAAACAGGCAGGCCAGATCTGCACAGACCTCTTCAAGCACTTTCCTTCCAACTTTTCTCTTGCTGGTGGTATGGACGTGCGGAAAACAGAAAGCCAGTGCATTTGAACCGCTAAGCGCATGAAATGTGAAATAAGCTGATCCGTGTTACAGGGTAAGTAAAGATACAGGAGCCCTGACTTCTTTTGCATCTCGTTACCTCTTGTGAGCCCCATCAGGGAAAACAACTGTGAGAGGGAGACTAAGGTAGATTGGGGGGAGGGGTTGAATATGTACACCCAAATAAATTTGGGGGCAAGTTTAAGAACTGAAGGAGTAGGACTAGAATGTTAAAACAGCCCCAAAGCTTAGCTTGCTCCTGGCCACTGGTGGCCCCCTGGGGCAATAGCCCCCGCCCAGGAATTTTCCCAGTAAGCTGAAGGGCCAGTCTACTCTTGGATAAAAGCCAGGTGTTGTCCGAAGTGAGGTTTTAAGGAAGAGAGAGAGATGGCACTATGTGGGGTACATGGGAGGAGCCATGGCTCAGTGGTAGAGCCTCGACTTATCAGACAGAAGGTCCCAGGTTCCATCCCTGGCATCTCCAGTCGAAAGGACCAGGCTGTAGGTGATGTTAAAGCCTCTGCTTTAAGACTGTGGAGAGCCGTTGCCACCCAGAGTTGACAAGACTGACCTTGACGGACCAAGGATCTGATTCAGTATTCGACAGCTTCATGTGTTATGTACCTAGGACTTAAGGAGAAAGAGTTCCCAGAATGGGAAGGGTGGAGCCATTCAAGGGTATGGGGCACTTTGGGGCATTCGTATTTTCTCTTGTTTCCTGGTTTCGAGAACTGCGATGCACTGGTTTGATTATTGTTTGGGTTTTTTTAAAGGAAGTAGCCTCCATTTTCGCTAAGTCATCTTGACCTACACAATAAGAAGAGGAATTCTGCAGGAGCAGCCAAAGCACGGAGACCGGATGTGCTGTGTGAGGGCACCTGAGCGCTGAAAGGCCTTATTGCGGTGTGCGTGTGCCTCTGTGGACAACTGCCCAGACTCCAAAGCCACTTCCTGAGTGACAGACTCCAGACTCCAAAGCCAGGAGCAAAGTTTCTTCAAAGAAAGAGAGGAGGAAACAACAGGCCCCGACCCATCGCTGGTGTCACAAAGAACCGAAGTCCCAAAAAGGAGAATTCACACCCAGAGGGGCCTGGGTGAGGGTGTCGCCTGCCTGTAACAACTAGTGCTGAGCAGGGTGGGCTTCTGAACAGGATGTCTTTTGCCCAAGCTTGGCAACGGTTTACATACTGTCATATGGGAGCTGTCTATCTAACCGAGTCCGGCTGAACGGCAAGCAAATGTAAACGAGGCAAAGGGGAGCAAGAAAAAAAGAGGGGGCGGGACCGCTTTGCCTTGCGTCTTCCTGAGTGACAGGCTCCCCAGCCTATCCCCGAGCCAACCCGGGGTCTTGAAATAACCTCCTCTGGCCGCGTACAATTGGACAGCGCCATAAACGGGCTCGGCTGCCCCTCTCGGCAAACAGGACTGTGGGAGAAACCGAGAAGGGAGCATGGAGACGGGTCTCCCCGAGCCAGAAGAGGGGGAAAGCGGACAGGAGAGCAGAGGGTAGGATCGTGGAGGGGAAGCTGGGGGTAGGGAGGGGAGGGGGGGGGGTTCCTGCGGGGCGTGCTGGAGGCGCAGCCGCGGGATCGCAGGGCCGGCGGGCAGGAGAGACGTCAAGGTGCTGTCAAGGAAGAGGACGCAGCCCCGTGTCGGGCCGCCGGGAGGGGGAAGTGGAGCCAGGCAGGCCCGCGGGCGAACAGGGCGCTGGGAGGGGAAGCGCAAAGAGGTCTGGGAAATGAACGGGATCTGGTGGGGTGCGGGGTGGGGTGGGGGGGAATGCTGCTGTCAGATGGGAGCCCCTCTGCGGAGAAGGGAAGGTGCAGCTCGGTTGGGACCGGCACTGATTTGGGCTCAAGAAGCACTGCGGGAGAGGGGGAAGGTATTCGTCTCCCATGGGGGGTGAGGGGGTGGGGGGTGGACGTTATATCCCGAAAGTGAAGTTGCTGTGGGTGCCGGGGTTACTCGGGGCAGTGTTTGCAAAGGGGGAATTGCGCGGATGTTGGACTGCTTACGTGGATGTTGGGTGGAGCCTGGCCCCAGCCCAGCCGCAGACGGACAACTGGCATTTGGGGACAGGGGTGGGGAAAGAAGAAGACAAGGCGAAGAGCTGGGGGGAGGCTTGGGATCTGCCCTGAGAGGGAACGCAGGAGGGCTTTTTCCCCTCTTGGGAAAGGGGAGTGCCAGCAGACTCCCCCCCCCCTTGGACGATCTTACCTTGCAGGGTCGTCGTGAAGATACAAGACAACAAAGAGCTTCTTGGTAAAAGGGGGGGATACAAATGTGGTAACTATACTGCTCACCAGGGCTTTTTTTGTAGAAAAAAGCCCAGCAGGAACTCATTAGCATAATAGGCCACACCCAACAGCAGAAGCTCATTAGCATATTAGGCCACACCCTGACAGTGCAGCTCATTAGCATATTACACCACACCCCATGACTTCCCTTGGCTTACCTGGGCGCCCCGTGACTGTGGGGCGCCCGGGCAATCCGGCCCTTGGACAGGTCGGGGAAGGCATGGGGAGGCATCGAAATGCCTCCCCCATCCTTCCAGGGGCCCCCCTGGCCCGCCCGCCTCGGAGTCACTGTGGTGTTCTCCAGGCCTTCCCTCTGTAGCCACGCGTGCAGAGGTTTTGGCTGTAGTGGGTGTGGGCCAACTCTGAAGCCAGCCGGAACTCGTTCCTGTGCATTCC